TTTATATCTTTTAATATTTTAAAAATATATAAAATTACCATTTGTAGACATTAAAAAAATTTGTAACTACACCATTATTAATTTATTTAACTTTGTTTTGTCAGAAAACAAGTTTATTACCCCTATTTTGTTACATGTGATGAGTACGTGACGCTAGTCAGGCCTATCGGGCCAACAAACTTTTAACTTGGGCTTTCTGTCTGTTTTATTTTATTTTTATTAGAAAATATATTGTGCATATTGTGAAAATTACATATTTTATAAATATTGATAAAAATAAATTTTTTTCAATAATTATAAAATAGGTAATTTATACATGATAAACTACAAATTACAAACACCTAGCTCTTTTTTAATAAAAACATAGCATATAATAAAAATTAAAAATTGAAGATGCTTATTTATAAAAAAAAAAAAAAAGCACCAAAAAGAGAACTGGTCAATTCCAAGGATTCGAAATCATTATAAAACTAACTATTAACTTTGTTAGAGCCTCAAGAATTAAGTCTATTGATAAGAAAATATTAACTTGTAAATGAGGTTTGAGATTCAAAATTTTGGATTAGTGCTTAAAAAATTAATTTTTTTTAAAATATATTAAATTAATATAAAATATGCATCTTTAAAATTACTTGAAAATAAATTAATCTTGATTATGAGGTACATAGCAAATAATTCGTAAATACTCTCATAATAAATACCAAAGAAAAAAAAAACTCTTTTAAAGTTCCAAAGGCATAAACTAGTAAGTAACAATTTGAGACTTTATAATAAAAGTCTTAAGTTTTAATCTTAAAATAATTAGGGTAAATTATCTATTATATTATATAGTTGGCCATCTAACATGTAAAGAAAAAAAAAATCTAATCTAGCTAACTTTCTTAGGCCAAAAAATTCTTACTCTCGTATTTTAGTTTGTCTAGAATGTGTTTCATATCAGTGTAGCACAATAATTCAAAAATGAGAAGAAAAAAAAAAAGAAAATAAGAAAAAGCAATAGGCATGGTCATGATCTGGGTCCCTATCCATGATGCCTTTCTTCTTCAAGCTTCCTCCTACATTCTTCTTCTTTACGCGCCAATGCACGTGCCCTGTTTATGTTATTCAAATTCTGAGAAAATGCAGTGCTACTTACTTTCCAACTTTACTTTTTTGAAGAGAAGGTGGTGGTCATCTTTTTATGGAGTTGGGGTTGTCAAATCTAACGTGAAAAGAGAGTAAAGAAAAGAAGCCTGCCCACTGTTCTTAATTGGGTTCTAAAGTTGTGCAATACATTGGGTTGGTAACACTTTCCCACCTTTTTTCTCTCCTACTTTTCATGTATTTATTTGGGTGGATGATAGGGTTAGGTTACATAAGTTAGCAGCTACCTTTGACATTCTTGTGCACATATCTTATTTTCTGGCTAGGGTAGGGTAAACATCTCTTCTCTTTTGAAACTAGGCTATGAAAGTGTTCACACCCCTATTGTGTTTTAAGTTTGGACGATGGAGGGTTTTTATGTTAAATTTTACATATTTTAAAATTAATTTTTTAATAAAAATCTTAAAAACTATATCTTATACATTAATATGGTATGTATTTTAAAAAGTTTATTTTTTTTAAAAATTTTAATTTTAAAATTTAAATTGTGAATTTAATTTATAAAAAATATTTATTTCTCAATAAATTAAACCTTAAACCTTAAGGTTCACAACCCTTTTGGTTTACAAGCTCAGTGGAGAGATCAAGGAAGATATTTTAATCTTGAATTAGCGCCATTGGAGAGACCAAATCTAATTAAGCTTCTTGTTTAATGATGTATTTGTAGAGAATTCACACATAGCTTATGAAACAGACATTAATTAGCTTGGCACAATCAGTAGAATCAATTGGGGAAAATTCCAAATTAGGTGGTTTCAATTTAAGGATTCATGACTTTTTTTTTTTTAATGAATATTTCTAGAACCCTCCCTAAGTAGGAGTTATTTTCTTTAAACCACCCTATATAGAATTTCCCCGTAATCTTCTCTCTTTTTTGATAGTATTTGTCCTTAGAGTACCTTAATTGCGCATCTTTTTTTACATCATCCATTAAGAGAGGTCCAACCTGTAATGTAAATGCAATACACAAATGGTGCATGGTGGATATAGGGTCCCAATTGTTCTGCTCTCCCAAATCAAGCTCTCTTTGCAGGGTATATTCCCCCTAAGTAACTACCCTTAATTAAGACATATCTCCTTCATGTGACCCACCCATTATTCTTCTTCTCTCTTTATTGTTTTAGTTTGGGGCCATGAAATAATTAGTGGGTCTACTGTGCTATCCCTTTATGAATTATGTGTTCATAATGTGACGTTTTATTTGGTCAAGAAAAATTTTTTTTTTTCAAGAACAATTGACAAATAAAATAGAAATTAACATAAAATTTACTGAGCTTGTAGGCTAGCTCATTTAGTACAATAAAAAAAATTAAAAAATTATATATCTTACGAAGGTTGAAAAAAAAAAGAAAAAGAAAAAAGAAAAACCCATGATATATATCAAATTTGTAATGGATCATTGAAGGTTTAAGATATTGCAGAATAATCACCAAATGTGTTCATAATTATCATTCTCTATCTCCGGCAAAATTACATGCATTTCATCTTTCAGTAACGTGTTGAATTGTTACTTACTGCCTCCATTGTACAACTACATTGACCTTCTTTTTATTTTAGAGACTGCTACCTCCATTTTACTTACAAGTCGCTAGGGCTTGCCTGGTTTTGTCCAGAAAGTAGGAAAATCCAGAGTGAAGACCAAGGAGAACATGGGCAATAACCCATTAGACAGTGTCACAATAGCTGGGCTTCAATTAAACGGAGACTCGGCTACAGCCCACAGGTTTAAGAGATTGGATGCATGTGTATTTAAAACCTTTTCCAACTCTTCGTCTGGGCCAACAGCAACCAACTAGATCTATGTAATGATGTACGAAAAATCATTTTGTACTCTTTTAGAGGGAGTATAACTTTAAAAAAAAAAAATTACATTTTATTAAATAAATATATATAATATTATAAATTTTAATAAAATAAAAAACTATTAAATAATGTATAAAATTATATAAAATAATAATATAAAAAATTATTTTTCAATCATTTTCCAATTAGACCCTTAACAAGTAATCGTTACTTTCATCAATAATATCATAGTCATACCACTTGAAATTTTATTTTAAATAAAATTATTATAAAAATATTTAAATTAGTTTCGTTATCGCCTTTACATTATATAAATTGGAACGTCATTGCCTCTCTCACTTTCAGTCATTACTTGGTTGATTTGTCTTCTACCTATGACATGCCGGTGCCTGTTAAAGTTCTGAATGACGATGCTTACTGGGTACTGATTGCGAGTCCAAATGCAATAAATAAAAGCATATGGAAAGATGGAAAAAACAGAACACAAGCGCACAAGGGTGAAGGGGACCATAAATAAACACTAGGAAAACAAAAACAACATAAACTTGACAAGGAGCATCTAAATTCTAAAAGATGGCAGATCTTACACAATATATGAAACAATTAAAAGAAAACCCGTTATTGACACTGCCAAAACTTATTAGGACCACTCCTGTATTAATTTTTCACAAATTTGTATTTTTTTTTCCAATAAACAGAAGAAATTTACTAATACAAAGTATAAAAGATACTTCAAATCAATTGCATTTATTTGTACACAATAAAATTCAAGAGGTTTATTTATGTAGCAACAACACACAATTGAAGAAAGAGACCAGTCACTAAAACTAAGCATGAACTTTCTATTCTCCCTTTAATCTAGCAGAATGATTTGGATTTGCACAAGCTCAAAAGTTCTATTTTCATCCCAACCTAATCCATTGAAAATAATGTTATTTCTTGTGAGCCAAGTGGTACATGCTACTGTAAGAAGAGTCCGTGACGTGACCAACAATCCCAAGGCAGGTTTGTGCCAGGTCCATAGGGAAGCTGCACAAAAACATGACAATTTTGTTCTTTTAGTTATAGTAATTTTACAAATTATTAATTCTTTCAATTTCTCACCTCTCCTTTCCCTTCAATTTCTCTAAAAGCAAACATACTTTTAAATTTTAATCGGAGAAAAACATCCAGAGTTCTCTTCCTTTCTTTCCCATTAATTTTTTCAATAGTTAATCAGTTGGACATAAAAACCAGAAAAAAAAAAAAAAGAGTTAATCCAGTGAATTGTAATTATATGAAAGCTAGTATTGTTATAGGATTACCAATGCTTTAGGAGGGTGTTTCCAGTGAGAAGAATTTAAGAGTCTATGTTAGAGTAGCCCAACTCTAAAACTATTGAGCAAAAAAATTTTATATTAAAAAATTATTGTTTTATTTATTATTAATTAATTTTTAATTTAATATAAACCTTGTGTTGAAACTTATATGTTAATTTTTACAGAAACAAATGCTAAAAGATTAAAATAAATGAGGGTTATCGAATCCATCTTTAGATTTAGAAGTAAAAAAATTAAATTACCTAATTAATTTGTGATCATGAATTTTGGTACTAATGAAGTGACTGGATTACCATAAGTAGTAGCAGTTATTATTACATTTATGACGACAAAAAAAAATATAAAATATTTTTATAATAAAAAATATATTAAAAATATATATATATATATATTTTATGAAAGTTGCAATAAGAAAGCCTAGAATGTGCACTTGTGCCCTTCCATTCTAATTCTAATCACCTCAGGTCACGCATAAATATATTATCTCATTTTCAAAGTAATGGTTCGACTTCAAACTTGCGAATTTGTTAAAAAAAAAAAAAAAAAAAAAATATTTATATATTTTTTTTTATGGAAGTTGCAATAAGAACGCACTAGAATGTGCTTAAATGATGCATCCACAACCTGCAGAAACCGCGTATACTGACTGCCAAAACACAGCCCCTGCTGCTATCTTAATGCGCCAAACTTCCCAGCTGTTCCTTCGTCCATTACACCAATTTATTATTACTCACCGGTCACCAGCCCCGCCTATTTTCCCCACCATAAATGCCCACTTCCCATCTCCCACACTCCACAGTCCACACTCACCACTAAGCAGTAGAAGCTCCAGCTGTGTTGCATACCAAAAATGAAGCTCTTGTTCGCTGCTTTCCTCCTCTGCTCTCTTCTTCTCTGCTCCACCTTCATGGAACTAGCCACTGCCGCCATGCCTACTCCGCCCTCCTGTAAGCACTTGATCTGTCTTTTGGGTTTTAATGTTCCTCCTCTTTTCTTTTGAGTAACGTTTTTCTTTTCTTGACCAGCGTTTTGTCCATCCAAGTGCAATGAGAGGTGTAAGAAGGCGGCGGTGAACGATAGATGCCTCAAGTACTGCGGGATTTGCTGTAGGGAGTGCAAATGCGTTCCTTCTGGGACTTATGGGAACAAGCATGAGTGCCCTTGTTACAGGGACAAGGTCAACAAGAAGGGCAAACCCAAGTGCCCTTGAAAGATGAGCTAGCTTCTTCTTAATTAATTAGCCTTTTGTAATTTGTAGCTTTGAAATGAGAGAGGATATTGTTGGCGTGCTGCTCATATTGTGCTTGTAGTAGACATCATCAGATGGCTTGATTAGTAAGAGTTGAGGATTTGTTTGCCCAGTTTTCTTATAATACTTTTCCCGTTGAGAGCATTTGATTACTTTTCCTGTCTGAAAGTTGGATTGCTGTTGTTTGTAATGAGTAGAAATATTTCTTGGACTCATTTTATATATATATATATATGTATATGTATATTACATATGTATATTTTATTTTATAATTTAAATTATTTTTGAACTATAAAATAAGAATTATATGATAAGAAAATTCTTTAATATCATAGAAATTTTCATTTGGAATAATTTAAATTATAAAATATTATATATATTTATGAGTAAAAATCTATTTATATATATGTTTTTTATATTATATTTATATAAAATTTTAATAATATATTTTCTTAGTTTTAATAATTAAATTTTATTTATTTTTATAATAATAATTATTAAAGATAATTATTTTTTTAATATAATAAATTTTAGAAATTAAAAATGTAAATATAAATAATTGAAATTTTATACAAGTAGATATTATATAATATGTTATATGTAAAATTTATAGGTAAATAAGTTCTAATTCGCAAAAAATAAGGAAAATATTTGTCTATGGGCTGCGTTCTGGGCCGAGTTCAACTACTTTTTATCTGCTATGTCTGTTATCTGGACCGTTCTCAGGCCCTTCTCCATCAACCGCATTACCATTCCATACCATATGAAACATCTGAACCGGCCCACATGGTTGAGGCATCATTTTCGGTTTAACCCCTAAGAAGCCCTCTAACTGTTTGTTTTTGAGATCATTAGTCTCTCAATCAGTACTTTATGTATTTTAAGCCTAAACTTTACATTATTACTGTAGTTGAACTAAAATAGACGAAATTGCATTGCTTGAGTTACTATTTCATTAGTGTCATGATAGGATAAATATAGTTTGCTAGGACCCATTGATCACAAAAAAAATAGAATGTCCAAGTCCACCCCTAAATTTAGGCACCAGGGATGGATCCACTTTTAAACAAAAAATAAAACAAATCTATCTATAGAGTTTTTAACTTGGATAAATTACCTGAAATTTAACATGTAACGTAGTTTGACATTAGCAATATATTAACAATGAAATTATTAGTGACGTAATAAATTAACAGATTGCTGATGTCAAATAATGTCATATGGTTAAATTTAAGATGATCTATCCAAATAAAAAATTTTGTAGGTGGAATTGTACCCTTATTTGTTTAGGAATGGATCCGTCCTTGCAACCTAACTTTAAAGATAGATTTAAGCATTCTATTGAAAAAAAAAAATCTCACTAATATGAGATCTGAATGTACTATAGGTGATATTTTTCAATCTAGGTGAATCATATTTATGTCACACTAATGAAGAGAAAGTAACATAATAGTAACAACCACGTGACTCATGTGATGAGATTTTTTTTTTTTTTGAGAAATTAACTCATGTGGTGGGATTACATCTCTTTTAAATCAATTACAACAATAAGTTTTGAATTAAAGTATATAAAATGGCCAATAACCTAAGTAATGCAATGGTAAACTTCTTCCATTGAAAGTAAAAGATACTGGATTCAAGTCACATAACATGCAAGTAAAATGAGATAAAAAATGAAAAAAGGTTGTTGCTTTCCGTTGTGTAACTAACATAAAATATATATATATATATATATAATGAATCTTGAGGGGATGATAATATCAAGTACAAATAGTTAGAGGGCTTCAGTGGTTTATGCCTAGCATTTTCCTACATTTTCAGTCTCTCTCCAACCAAGCTGCAAAATCCACCGTAATTTGAAAATTTTGCGAGGGGGTGGTCTGCAGCTTCTCCAGTCCAACAATGGAGAATCCGAAGGTTCAAGTGGTGCCACAATATGCACGTACACATCCTATCTTCTGCATATCTTCATTTTTGTTTTTAATTTCTGTACTTTTTATCCTCCAGATCCTGGAGAAGCAGGTGCTAACGGTGGCCAAGGCCGTCGAGGACCAGATCGATGAGGAGATTGCGGCTCTGGATCGCCTCGACCACGACGATCTGGAGGCTCTCAGAGAGCGGAGGCTGCAGCAGATGAAGAAGATGGCAGAGAAGCGTAGCCGTTGGATCGCCCTTGGTCATGGTGAGTACTCAGAGATCGCCTCCGAGAAGGACTTCTTCTCCATCGTCAAGGCTAGCGAGCGTGTTGTTTGCCACTTCTATCGCGAGAATTGGCCTTGCAAGGTACTTGCACTCTCTTCTTCTTCTTCCCTCTCATTTTTTTTTTTCTTTCTTTCTTTCTTTTTGGTTGATTACGTCTTGTGGAGTTGTTTGCTTAATTTGGCTAATGAAAATAAGTTTTTTATTTTTTTTTAATTTTTTGTTGAGAAGCTTTTGATGTCATAATTGCAGAGAATTACATTCAGGATTTGGTTTAAATAAATTAAATTTGTTTTGATCTTCTTGTTCTGTTAATGGGAGATTGGTTTTTACTTTTTAGGCTTAGGAGTTTAAGTTGATATTCTGAAAAGCTGACCCAGAAGATACTTAGTTGATCATTTGATTTGTTTTGGATACTGAAAGAGTGAAAGTGCATGTGAAAGTGAACTCTTTTGATTTTGGTGAAATGATTCTCATTGATAAGAGAGAGAGTTCTTGATTCATTGTTTATAAAGTAATGTTCTGAGTTGGTTTTATCTTTTACAGATTCTTTTCTTTTCTATGAATCTAATTTTTGGGGTTTAGGTTAATGCTTTGGGTACTTCCTGTATTTCTAGTCTGGAAAATTATCTCTTGGATTGGAGTGTTATTATTATTATTATTTTCCCCTGCAAGTTTCTTAATCTTTTAGTGATCATCATCATAAGGGGATTTGTTCATGTCTATATGGAATTGTACCCAAAGTAGATTGAATACTGTGATTGATTTTAGGAAACTAGCTGATAGTATCATTCATGCACCCAACTTTGTGGAAAATATATGTTTGGTGTTTTAGAACAGTTGCAATGAGAAAAGAGCGTTTATTGAGGAAATGGAGCAATGGAACATCTGTATGGATGCGGTCTTGTTTTCCCATTGTTAAGAAAAAGTGGGCAGGAGGGCTTGTTTTACTATTATGAACCCCTAGTACCTGTGTTTCAAATATCACTCAAGATTATCTAATTTTGATTATCTACAGTTCATTGGGGGCCAGGAACATCCTTGCGGTCCTTTTAGAAATTGGAAAAGATTGCAAAATGTTCTTATGAAATATACCCTAAGAAAATGTTAGTGTGAGGAAATCTGAGTGGAAGGCAATTAAAAATTGAACCTAGTTATTTTGAAAAAATGATGATTTGTCATGTCTGATTTTGATGTTGATTACAGTTTATATTACTTGCACAGTTCATTAACTCCTGCCCATGGAAGACAACTTTCTGGTTGAACTGGTATAAAGTTGTTAACCTTGTTATGCAACTTTCAGGTGATGCAACCTTGTTGGCCAATTAGGGTATAGAAAACCAGGATGAATGAAGGTCAGAGTGTTATAAATGTGGTTTCTTGATTGACAGAGGGGAAAGGCATGGGCAGGATCTGGTTGTGGGGTATATGGCTTTCTGATTAACTTAAACTTTGTGAATAAGCTGGTATAAGTTTGGTTCTTTCACCCATTAACTTATAATCTGATGCTTCATCAATTGATTTCTTCTGTGTCTTCAATGCATCCATATGTTTGTGTAGTTGTATAATGTATTTTCTAGTAGACATGAAAAATGGGAAACAATTTATGTTTACAGATCAATTGCAGGTAATGGACAAACATTTGGGTATATTAGCAAAGCAGCACATAGAGACACGGTTTGTAAAGCTCCATGCCGAGAAAAGTCCATTCCTGGCTGAGAGGCTCAAGATCATGGTCCTTCCTACACTTGCCCTTATAAAGAATGCCAAAGTGGATGATTACGTGGTATGTATCTGGAGCATGAAATGATATGGATACTATTTGAATGGATCTCCTGTCAAATTGTATCCGATTGTCCAATCCAAGATTACAGTCTTTGAAGGTGTCTTTTGTTGCTAATTTTAACTCATCTAACCACGTTAATGCTTTTCAGGTTGGATTTGATGAGCTTGGTGGGACAGATGAGTTCAGCACGGAAGAACTGGAAGAGAGGTTAGCCAAAGCACAGGTGATCTTTTTTGAGGGTGAATCATCTATAAGTGCACCAAAGTCTGGAAAACAAACCAGGAGTGTCCGGCAAAGCACCAATGAAGACTCATCGGATTCTGACTGAATTGATGACCATTGATTTTGTAATCTATTTGTTGATTGGCTCAGCCTATCGGCTCTACATAATTTAGGTGCAGTTCTGTTGTTATTTGTAAGATCTATCTTTCATTTGCGAAATATTATTATTATCCCATAATCATGGCATCGAATGAGAATTTACAAAATTAATTTCTCAAAGCATAAGCATCTGTTTATTATCGACTTAACCTGGTTGATGGCCTAAATAATTTATACAAATCTAATTAAATGATGATAACCCCCTTGTACCCTGTATCAAAGTGTGGCAAGGCAGGGCTATAATGTACCGATTCCACCCTAGAATTCAGAAACTCCATCGGAGTAAGGTTAATACTCTAATGCACCGAGAGTGAAAAGAATATATTCAGGTTGTATTGAATAATATAGTACTTCTTTAAATGGGATGAGTTTTGTGTTAGTAGGGCTCTTCTTTTATCCAATGGCTTTTATTTTGAAGCCTTCTGCAATTTTAATTATAAAACAGTGAACTCTAAAATAATGTCTTGTTAGTTATTTTGTTTTCAGGGACTAAAGTTGACACTAAATAAAAGTCTAGGGACTAAAGTGAAAATCAATAAAAGTAGTAAAGATTGCTCGAGCAAATTTTCGAACTTAAATTTTAGTCCAAATCATTCATTTGACACGCGGTCAAATCCTAATCGAGCTAGAATAGTCCACATAAGATGATAGTTCTTAAAGATTTTACTTTGTGTTGAACAATGAAAAATAATCACTGTTTGTACAGTTTCATGAATTTATATCGCAGATATCTTCAACTGCTTCGATATCTAAAAACCCAAGGATGTTTCTTTGGGGAAAGAATTCCGACACTTAAATTAGCAATACTCAATATTTTAGAGAGAGAAACTCTTAAGAGTAATTGTAAAAAGAGAAGCGTAATTGTAAAAAGAGAAGCGTAATGGAGTTATTATCATGAATGAAGGTAGGTAAAGGTATTTATATCCCCTTGATGAAAAATAGTCCACACGTATAAATATCTGACTTATCCACGTATAAGCCTCTATGTGGGTGTGTCTTCACTAGGTTCGGCTTTGGGCCGTAGGATAAACAATTGGACCTTTTGCATGAAACCCAGGTTGAATGTTGAGCCCATTTCCAACAATCACCTTCTATTTTTTTTACTTTTATTTTTTTGAACATTTTTGTCATGGGACTGACTCGAATCGTTGCCCTGGGGGAGGGGGATATGAACCTTACAAACGTGGCTAAAGCCACTTGACCCGAAGGGCCAGGTTCTTCTATTTTTTTACCTTATTAACTTATTTAATTGTAATTTAAATTTAGGTTTTCTTATTTTAGTATGATTTAATTTCAAGAGTCATTCAAACCTTCGAAAACATTTTACCATCAAGTCACTTATTCCATTATGTCATTAGTTGTCATCCTTAAAGTTTTAATTTAATGAAAATGTTTTGATTTTAATTGAAGTTAAACCATGATAGACGTTCCTAGGTACAGTCCTTAAAATTCTTAGTAATTTAATATAAAACAAGTATAAATTTCTTCTACGTGGGAAACATTTGAAAGCCGGAAATATTAGACGACCAAAAAAAGTCAATCTTAGGTGAAAACAAATATAATAGATGTTTATTAGAAAACAAATCCAATACACAAAATATGTGCTACTTCAATGAAGATCTCTGGATTCTAATTGAACTATAATAGAGGTTCTTAGGCGCAGTGCTTAAACTCGTAGTTATTCTTTTTTTCAAAAATAAAATTTATAGATTTTATTGATAATTAATAAAATACATTAACATTATTTATGATAAAGTATTTTATAGGTAAAGAAATAGCTTCCTATATTATTATCATATAAAAATATGCCTTATTGGAATGAGCCAGTTAAGTACTGTTTCTTCAAAAATTTTCAAGTGACTTTGTATGTGTGAAATTTAAATGCGAACTTGTTCTTTACTTTGCTGAAAAGAAGAAAAAATGATTTTCCCAATGACCCTCTTTTTCTTCGTAGTCAACCTCCATGTGAATAGTGGGAAAAACGTTGGTAAAAAATTAAAATTTACGACTACAGATAATTCACAAGAGGGAAGGATGTCTTCCTGTAGAATATGTTACTAAATTTGCTTTAGACAACTCCAAGAACTTAAACACTACTGTGAATTAAAGTTAACAGATCCTAAACGAACTAAATAACATGCAAATTAATGTAAACTTGTGAGAAAAAGATGTACCCAAATTAAATTAAATTAAATTAAACATATTCATTATCAGATTAAACTATTATCTACAGACAGATTTAGAAATTAAACTAATGCAAATTTCGAGATTTAACCCTAATTAACACTAAAACAAATATAAACAAGGACTAAATTAACATGCTCGAAATTGAGAAGAAGCATAAACGTTATATAAGTAATCATTTAATAAAACATTACTTATCATAAATATTAAATTAATTTCAGTAAAAAAAAGAACAATATCTTGCAAAATTCGAAAACTTGAAGTTCATTATATGAAATGAAATTGTTAAAGTGAATACATGAATGAATTCAACTAAATGAATGATGAAAAACGACCTAAATCTATTGGGAATTGTGCTAAAATTCGAAATCCGTAAACAAAAGTGAGCAATTGCAAAGAAATTGAAAGTCTAAAATTTTTCTAGTTGTGTGTAGGGGCTGACTGTGTGTTTTGTAATCCAAAATTTTCTATTTGTTTCCCTTTTCCCCAACTACAACACCCACTTTTTGCAGTTAGACAAACTGTGAACAATTTTCTTGAAGAAGTGGGACACCTTAGCAATTGACTGTGTTAGATTTCCTCCCAAATTTTGCCACCTTTCCTATTATTTGATAACCCATACGCATAATTGAAACCAACTCCTAAATTTCAACTAAAACGGACCTAATTTGACTCAGAAAAGTAATTAAAAGATAATATTTTATCTTTTTATCTTCTTTTTACCTATGTGGTAGCTAATCTGTTATGGGATTCAGAATTATATATCTGATATAGCTAAATTTCCTCCATCCATTAAATTTTTTTTTTTACACATGGCATGATCTTAAATTTTTGCAATTTATGATGTAAACAAGTGCTAAAGCCTCATGTACCACCAAGGGTCATTGGATGTTGCAATCTAAAATGAAAATTATCCTATTTAAATATTTATTTGTTTATTTATTTTTTATTTTGGTTGCATAATGTGAGGCAATCATCTCTCATTTCTTATTCTACTTAACCTACATGCTATGTGAATCGAATTCAGGACCTCTTATTTGAAGTGAAAGGAGATAATAACAGAACTACTTAAGTTGTTGGCTCCTGTTTAAACATTTATAAACTTTAAATAACTGTATCTGTAACATCAATTTAACACCAAAACCTTAGTCAAAGCAAAATATTAGTAACGGGTAATAAGGGGAGGCGAGAGCAAAATATGGAAACATAACAGTCCCTATCGACTACGCGTCAATTTCCTAAATGTCTTCTAAATGTAATTTAATGTTAATAGATTAGTAACAAAATATTAATTGTCTTCTAAATGGGAATCATTAGAAAACCGGAAACGTTGGTAGGCCAAAAAAATGTCGGTCCTCATAAATTGTTGTCAAAGGGCTATATAGTAATTAGATTGGGATTTACTCAATATATGTATATATATATATATATGGGAAAAGAGAAAATCATGAGGCTCTGTTATTAAAATTATCAAGAATAATAATCATAAAATGAATTTGACAAAATTAAAATTTACATTATATCTTCTACATTTAATAGTTATCATTACACATACTAATATTTTTAATCATAGGACGTTCTAAATTTTCATTTTTTCTTATACATATATATATATATATTTAATAGTGAATGGAAATATAAATTTATTATAAATAAATAATTGATTTTTTTATATATTTTTAATAATATTTTATTTTAATATTTTATATAAATAAGAAAAAGAAAAAACATCAAGTCACTGCTCGTTACTCTCAACCAACCTATTCTGAGTTTAGTTGTCAACATTATATTACATTATAAATTTTGAGTAATTGTATCTGTAACATAAAAAATTAGAGAAGAGCAAAATACCAAGTATTATTAACATATACAATTGGGTTTCATGGCTTAATAATTATAAATTTCATAGTAAAATGCACCCTCATTTTTAGGATTGGATTCGAATCCTCTCTCTCTTCCAAAAATGTAAACCTATTGAAAAAAACTATTATTAACATGCAGCAAGGAGAGATCCAAATAATGACACATTGTTGACACATGACCGTACTATCCATTACTCGTCAATCTTTTAAATTAATTCCTTCTAAATGGGAAACATTAGAAAACCAATAGTCCGTCCTCATAAATTTTAGTCAAAGGGCTGTATCTAATTAGTAGTTTAGGAGTGCTTCACACAATTTTTTTTTTTTTTTTTTGTAATATTGTGTCTAAAAATATAAATTTATTATAAATAATTAATCTTAATTAGTGTTTTATATATTTTTAATAATTTTATTTAATATTTTATATAATTTTGTGAAAACAAAATAAAAAAGCTTAAAGTCACAGTACAGCACTCTCAAACTAAAACATATTATGATTTCTTTTGTTAGTATTGTATAATAAAAAAGTGAGTATCAGCTTATATTACAAAAAAATTAAGTA